CTTAATTCTTTAAAATCTTAATGAGCTAGCTTAATCATCTTAGCTGTTTTGGAGCTTTATCATAGTTACAGACTGATTGACTTTGGTCTTTTTACGATGCTCTTAATTAGCTTTTGTCTTTTAGGTTATGTTAGCATAGTTTAACCTTCTTAATTAGATGACCTTTGCTTAGCCTTGGTTTTTGCTGTGTTAAATTAACTTAGCTTGCTTTAGTGAACCTTTGTAACCTTACATCAGCTTAACCTAACTTTTTCTGGCCCATTTTGCCCTTATGTAGCATACTGCCTGCTTTAGCGTATTATTGGTTTAATTAGCCCAGTTTAGCCTATCTAAGCTTAGCTTTGCTAGGCTCAGTTCTTTCGTCCATATTTGATGGTAGTTTATTTGAGTTATTAGGTTATGCTGCCTCTGTTTAGTCCAGTCTTCCTACTTTACTTCGGTTTATACTATCTTCCATTAGCTTTGTTTTAGCCATTGTTTAGCCAACCTTAGTCTCTTTGGGCAGACAGAGCCTGACAGACTTGTATGACTATTTTAAGCAGTCATAGAAAGTCTTGATCAAAGGAAGGCAGATTATAACCAGATTAGGATTGAACTTTAGACCCATATCAGTATTTTCTCTGTGCACATCTGTCAGGTTCAGATCTTCAACCCAGCATTCTTCAAATACATCCATGATCACTGGACCAGACATCATGGCCGATACCCTTCCACCGGCATGCTGGTCCTTTTTTTCGCCCTTCACGTCTGCGATGAGGTCAGTTTCCCCCTCTTCTCCTTACAGTAAACAAGCTGTCACCGCTTTCATTCAGAATTTCTAGTCTGATCCTAGTTCTACCTTCCAGGTCAACGTTTTCGGTTTTGGCGCCGACAGCCGTGGAAACTGGCACCACTATTGGGAGCAGAACCGATATTCTGGTGAATTCAGGAAGACCGGGGTCCACGACGCCGACTACGAAGCTCAGATCATCCAGCAGCTAGCCAAGGCCGGAAAGATCAAAGTATTCCCAGGGAAATGACCGGAAGAATGATCCTGCTGGTCTCAGGTTTAGGAAGCTGATCAATTTGGATGAGTTAACTGAGCCAGATTACATTTCTACTGATTGCCGCATGAGCTGAAACAGGATCAGGAAGATTTTTCCTTTGGGGGTGGAGCCTCCGGTCGGACGGTCAGCTTGATTGGCTGCTTCACGGCTAAACGGAGGAAAACAGGGAATGACATCTGAACAGCAGGGTCAAATAGAAAAACTGGATCAGCTTCATCAAAGCATCTCTGTTGGTGGATCCAGTGATGTTCATCCATAGAGGGTTATTTAATCCTCGTATCGTGATACAATTTAACACCCATGGCCCCGATTCTGCACCTCAGACACCGTTGTGTGACTTTATCATCCAGCAATGTGGGAATATTTTGCTGACAAAGAGCCGTCCTTTAGAATCAGGATCCCGTCTTTGATTTGCCTTAAATTCTCTTTGAGGTGAAACATCCCCAACATTGCCACAGAGTTCCTCATCTCTTTGAAGCAACTGAACTGACTGCTCGTTAATCCGCTCATAATCATCATCTCATAAAGACGCTTCCAGATCCTCAGAAACGGTGTCAGGATTTCAGCCTTTCAGACGACATGAGCCTCCAGTTCTGGTCCTTCGGCGTCTTTATTCCCATGGAGACAGAGAGGAGGAGGCCGTCACGGCTGGATCCAGCTAAACTGCTCCATCGGGGACTCAAATGTTGCTTTAGTGTTGCTCGTACGTAGAGGCGAGCTATGTACGCCCAACTGGTCCGAGCAGAGAGCTTCAGACCAGATGGCGGCTGAAGAAAACCCCTCGCCTTCACTGACCAGTCCTGGCTCAGCCAATCTGGACGTAAGCTCAGTCTGGAGGCAAAGCCAGCCTACGCCTTAAGGCTGATTTATACTCAGAAACCAGGTCGTCTGCGTGTGTCGCAGTGAACGCAGATATGCCCCGCCCCTTCCACAGACACTCTGCTGCACCTCTCCAAAATTGTAGGTGACCGCAGAGAGGAGGCCTCTGATTGGTCAAATCTACTCTACACTTTGCGTATTTTCTGTTTGGTCGTTTTTGTGACCGCCATTGTGGAAAACGGCTAGAAGAGCGAGGTGCGTGAGAACGCTGGGACCATTTTCCCACCTGGATCCCCGCTCTTTTTCGCCCTTATCTCCCTCTGTTGTCGCACAAACTTGCCCCCACTTCCTCTCAGCCTCGGCCGTATCTAGACCCACAGCTAGTTCCTGATTGTCCCGCTTGCGTTGTGCCGTGGAATAACATAGCACAGACCACGCTTCAATATCGGGCATAAATCGGGCATAATATCTGCATCATACCTGCAACAACCTCACTGCGACACACTGCTTTGGGAGTATAACCAGCCTTTTAGCCTTCATCTCTCATGGCACCCCCTCGCAGAGCATCCGCCGCTCTTTTGGTGTCATAGGGTTCGATTTCCTCCTGAATGGATTTTCTCCCTGTTTCTATCATCACTGTGCCGTTTGATACCCATCATCATCGATTTAACGAGTGTCCCAGAATGGCGATCCATAAAGGGATGCAGGAAGAGGAAAGTGTTTTAAAAATTAGAGACAGAATGTTTGGATTGTTCTGGTTTTCTGAAACCTTCAGGTTTGGAAAATAGTTCTTAGAATTTCTGTAAAGTTTCAAATGTGAAAAGAACTGCTTTGAATAGGAAGCATGAAGTAGCTTTGAGAGTCCGTCTGTTTGGTGACTCGTTTCTGTTTTTCTGTCCTGATGCGTCAGACTCTTCATCCACTCAGACAGATGAATGCTGCCGGGTTACCATGTTGGATTTTACTGGAACTCCATGTTTTTTTCTCCCCAGCAGGTTTTCTCAAGGCCTCATTTTATCCCAACTGAATCTCATCATATTTCGGTCACATGCTTGGTGCCTTGTCCTGCAGCGGGACGCCTCTCGCCTGCTTCATCAGAGACGCACACCTGCTACCTTTATGTTATCGTTGGTCCTGCACATGTTTGGCTGAGCGCTGTGCCTTCTGAGCTGATTTCAAACTCACCACATGGGAACACTCTGCCTTCCACCTTCGGCTCCATGCAGTTTGTGTCATTAATTACTAATGGAGGTTATGTGAACTCATAATGTGTTGAATTCATATCAGTCTGTTCAGAACTCCTCATTTGGCCTCCTTGTCTTTCCTTCCAGGCAGCCAGACGTTCCTTCAGTCTTTATTCAAGTTTTCCAGGCTTTCAGAAGGAAGCTTCTGGTCTTCAGTTTGGGTTTTACACACAAAGGAAAAGACATAAATACCTAAATTTAGGGGATGAAGCTGTTTTGTGTTGATATCTAATAGAAAACTTTGGAATTGGATCTTTGTCATTTTTTCATTTATAGATTTTTATTAAATGGATATTTCAAAAAATAAAAAAGATTGTGCAACAATAAGTAAAATATAATTGCATACATAAGTTTAGCTGCGTCTGAATCTGATGTCGTATACATCTTAACTAAAATAAATTAAATTTATAGTTTTACTTAGTTATGAAATTGTTTTTTAAAGACAATGTTCTGTCTAAAAACACTTAACAGATTTTTTTTTTAGCATTTTCAATCATTTCAGGTGAGTTATTTCTTGAGCGACTTTAGATCAACATAACAAGCCTTTCAGCCGGACATGTTAGGGCTGGGCTGACATTGGATTCGGATTTATACAACTTTCCAACATCTGAGTTAGAATTACGAGTCAAAAAGTCTGAACAAGTTGACCATAGCGGACTTCCCCATTCAAAATGGCTGCCACTTGCATCAACAGTAAAGCCGTCTTTAACTTTCAGCAGTTCTTTGTTTTTCACTGCTTTTCACTGTTAATAAAACCAAACACTTTAATGCTGAAACTTACACCTGGTACGAGTCAATAATGTTTTTGTCACGATGAAACCTTCACCTTAGCTTCTACAAGAGGAAAACTGGAACGCCATCGACTCAGATATTCTCATCCCAGTTCAGGGTTTCAGTGATAGTGGAACCAAACATGAGCTCAGCAAACCGTCAGCAGGGGTGGAGCCAGATAGGGGCCAGGGGTGGCTATGGTCACCCTTAGCCAATCATTGGCTCTGTTCGAAAACCTAGACCGTGTCCTCCAAGGACGCGGTCTACCTAGACTGGATCCTTCGAAGTCCTTGAAAATAAGGAGACCGGAAGAGTTTAGGCTGTGAATTCGACCAGGTCTACCCTTCGGCGGGTTTTACCGCCGTATGCTCTGTTGCTTAGCAACCGTAAACGTTGACACACAAAGCAGGAAAAGAATGAATACAGAAATTTTCAAAACTGTTTATTAATTTTTTTTTTAAGTTAAAGTGAACAAAGACTACACTCACAAGAATCCAGAATGGAATAAATGTTCCAACAGCCGGGAGCAGGAACAAATCAAATCAAATGTAATGATAGAAACCTTAGTCAGTTAAATAACCTGCTGCTGTCATTCTGCACATCTCTGATGTTGCTGCTATTTTCAAATATCCATTACTGTAAAAATGTCCATAGCTGCATATTAGTTATTAATTCCCCAGTTTTATATTTTTTAAAACACTTTACAGAATTTTATTTTTATATTTTAACTCTTCCCTATTATGTTATTCATTTTTCTAAGGTCCACATTTGTGTGACCATTTTCAATAATCTTTCTGCTGCTGTAAATTTGCCCATTGGGGGACAATAAAGGGATTTTCTATTCTATTCTATAAAAGGGGTAGAAAGATATAAGTAAATCTAAACAATGTATTTATAAAAAATATATCTGCAAAATCTCTAATATTCAACAACAAAAAAATACGTAGTTAAGCATGTTGTGCAATAAAAAGATAAAAATCCTATCAGATTGCCAAACCCATTTACACAGTAACAGATAAAAACCTTTGGATAAACCAAACATTACCGCCACATATCTGACTCAATAACCATTAAAACAACTATTTTTCATTAATCTCAGACGGAACTATTAAATGACTTATATTAAACTGAACTTCCAATATTCACCACTGTTCGGCGCCAAGTAACCTTAACTCTGATCACAGCTTGCTTGGTCTCGCAATGAATCCTGGGATATCCAAGAATACCGAGGATACATCAGACCCGTCCTTCAAATCAGGCAAAAAGAAGGACGCATTTCAAGGCCGCATAACGAGGACTCTTGGAATCCGACCAGACCTCGGCGCCGCGCTATGACGTAATCGGCCTTCGAATCCGGTCTTCTAAGGACGCGTCCTAGGTTTTCGAACAGAGCCATTGGCCACCCCTGTCATTTGTTTTACTCTAATACAGATGGTGGCAGCAATAATACTCTCAAGTGGAATATTCAAAACATTTTAATTTGTTGTGGTTAATTAAACACATCAATATACTAACATCAAAGATAAGTACAGAATTCATGCTATTTTCAGATTTTGTGTTATATGGGGTAAAGAGAAAAGGATGTCTCTGAAAGTCATCTGGTCATCTTCAGTGAAATCATAGATAAATAACAGTTTTAATAAAAACTTATCAAGTAATCAATTTATGTAGATATTAGTGCTTGTAAATATCAATTTTATGCAGAATGTTTGATACAAGTAGGTAAGTAATGACAATGGAAAAGATTTACGCCCCAGAACTCAAAACTGAGTTTTATCCATTCTACCTTTTATCTAGAAATGATGTTTAAATATAGGCGTCTGTTTGTTAGCAAAGGAATAGGAAAGTATAGTTTGTCTTTATTGAGAAAATATGGATGTTTTGCTCATTAATTTTTACTGTTGGAACAGCGTATATTGACCCTAAGGTTCTGGTTCCTATCCGCCTTCGGCCCCCCCCCTCAGTGTACATTGGTTATTGCCTGGCCACCCTTATAAAAATGTTCTGGCTACGCCTCTGACCGCCAGGCTTTAGCTTTGTTTGGCTAGTTTTAGTTAAGGCTTTCCAGGTTAGCTGAACTTGCCCAAACAGGATAGCTTTGGCTAGCTAGTTTCTTTACCCAAATATACCGATATTGACTAAGAGCCAATTCAAGATTTGATCACTTTATTTCATGAGTTTAAATGAGTTTAACCTACCTAAGGTTTGCACCAAAGATTTGTTTTAATGAGCAGTTCCTAAACACCCCCCCATGCTATCATTTAAAGAATGCCCCCACAAATAGAAAAAGAAAACAACAGTATAACATTGCAAAACATTTTTTACAACCTCCTTAAATCACAAAACTACCAATATAATAGAGTCTTTTTTTTATTTGCTGATTTTGCTGATGACAGGACTGCCATCCACACACACTTGCCCAGACTCACTATCTTTGTGGGGCCTTTCCATTGACTTCCATGCATTTACATAATCTAATTGTGACCCTGATCCAAACCATTACAGTTTCATAACTAACCTAAACCTAAACTCAATTCTCACCTTAGTCTTAAATGTGACCCCTGACCTAAAACCAGCAATTCCCTGGTGGGCTCCATGCATAGGGCCCCACAAAGTATTAAAGACCAGCACACACGCTGAGCCAACCTAACCTTCCCAAACTCCCCTCAGCGTGACTCTAAGCTCTCAGACTGACACCCAGTAAAGGAGGCAGGACCCCCTTATTAGTCATTCTGGAGAATTATTGATCAGAACCGATCGAAAGTAGTGGAGAAAGGAAATCAAGCATGACTGGAGACTTGGATTTGATCTTTATTATTTTACATCCTAGTGTTGCTACAAACTGAGATGGTTTTATTTCTATCATCAGATTAAAACACAAACACCAGTTTTAAGTCAAGTTTTGCTCTCGCTCAGATTAATGACATGAATTATCTCGGAGTTAAACGTGACCTTCAGACAGCCGATATGAACACCTGAACAGCCTGTGCTTCTTATCAGCTGGAGGCCAGAACATGCTGCTGAGATGATGGAGAGCAGAGGGTCCCTCTGAGGTTCCTCCCTCCCACCAGCGGTTCATGACACACATCGGATTCTCTCACACAGACGACCTAAAGTAGGTCTTCCTCCTGCTGTTGACCCACATTTTCATCCTGCAGTGGGGATTCTTCCAGATAAATGAAAGCTGAGCCGCTTCCTGCCGTTACGGATCGGTCCAGTTTAAACCATTTATTTAGTGAAAATCTTCCATCAGTCAGACTTGGCTCCTGGTACGTTCAAGGCTATTTCTACTCTGCTCCGTTTGAGCCGGAAAGTAGGAAGTCTCCATCTGTCTGGGTGGGAAAACCATCACTTTGACTCGAGCGTGGAAGATGGAGCGTGTTGGAAGAACTTATCCTAAATATTGATTTTACTCATTTTGAACCAAGAGTAGATTTTGTTAAGATTACAATAAAATTTTCTTTTTTTAATTTAATTTATTTCTATAGTGCCGATTCACATCACATGTCATCTCAAGGAAATTTACAGTTCGCCAGATCATACAGTCAAACTGATTCAAGGTTTTCTATCTAAGGAAAACCAGTTGATTGCATCCTTCACTCTAAGCATGCTTGCAGCAACAGTGGAGAGGAAAAACTCCCTTTTAACGGGAAAAAACCTCCAGCAGAACCAGGCAATTCTTTTGTTCTTGATTTTAAGACAGGATCTATTATTTTTGCTTTGATTTTTACCTCCAAAAGCAGCCATGCTGTAAACTCACATGAAATGGTTCAGTAACATTAATTAACTTAGAGCTGCAGTGAAGCGGGGCCGCTTGGGATGATCCGGGGAGGTTGCTGGTTCTGATCCACCCTGCCTCTGTACCGCTGCAGGTAGAAACCGGGTCAGTTACCAGCAGGAAATCTCCATCAGCTCTGGTCTCGACCATCAGGGACACATAAAAGATTCATGAAACTGATCTGCAGCTTCTGCAATTGTCACAATTCAGTCATTTTAAAGATGAACCAGAGTTCAGCCTGGATTTATGGAAAACATGTTCACAAAGTTCCAAACTAGAAAAAAAACAAGAAATGAAAAGGCTGATGGGAAAAAAGAAACAAAAATAAAACAAGAAAAACAGAAGAAATAAAACAAAAGAAGACATAAACGATGAGAGAGGATTGAAGTATTATGGTAACGACATAAAGAACGAAGGAAGAAAAGTGTTTTTAGAATTTTAGACCAAAACATCTCAGCCCAAAATAACAAGAACACACAAAACTACACAAATTATTCACTCTATATTCATTCATCTATGGGGAAATAATTAGAATTATATTATAATATTTAGTAATATCTTTTAAATGTCAATTTTAAGTTTTGTAGCACTTTTTTTTGTACATGTTCCAACTGAATGTTTTAGATTTAAATCAACTTATTTAATGGAAGGTCAACATTTTGCCCTCCAATCACCATGATCACTAGGATTATAAAAAAAACATCGCTCCATTTTTTGGGAATCTGAAACGTTTCTCCAAACTCAAATGTTTTAAAGTCTCATTTTGATTTTCAGAATTTCAATAAATTCATTTTCTGCCTGATTTTACATTAAAAAAGCTAATTAATCGTTCTCCAAAAAAAGTGAAGCATCTAAAGTATGACAGGCAGCTGGACAGAAAGTGTTGGATGGAAGCACAGAAGGATAAAGAGCAAAAGTCCGGCTACTTCAGGTCCAATACTGATCGTGAGTGATGGAGCAAGATGACCCGGATCAAAGATCTGTCTGCAGAACAAAGGTCAGAGGTCGACATCTGGTCCATCCATGTTCCAACAGGAACCATCAGGGAAACAAGCAGCTGAAAAGAGCTTCCTTGGAGGTTCATGGAGCTCCATCTTCATTAAAGATGGAGGAGCTCCATGTTCTAGAAGTTAAAGCAGATCTGCAACCTGAAACCTCGAACTCAACGCTATTCCTGACATTTAGAATTGAAAAAGCTTCCTGGATGGGAAGCGAAACATCTTCAAACTTGGAACCAAAGTCCACTGGATTGTTTTTAAAGTTCTTTTTTGGAGCAGATCTGCAGCTCATCCACATCAGGATTCCCCACAACTGGACGGACCTCACAGCTCGGTTCTGGATGAGGCTCGGCTGTCAGACTGGAACCAAACCCAAGGACTGATGTCAGACATGCTCCATATTAAAGGAATTATCAATGGATCACTATACCTAAAACTGATATGTTTGCTGTGATTTAATGAATTTAGTGTTAATCAGTAAAAAAAAATAATTTTCCGTCGCATGTCAGACGGTGTGTAAACAGTCGATAACCTATAGACTCAATACACTCACCGGCCACTTTATTAGGTACACCATGCTAGTAATGGGTTGGACCCCCTTTTGCCTTCAGAACTGCCTCAATTCTTCATGGCATAGATTCAACAAGGTGCTGGAAGCATTCCTCAGGGAGTTTGGTCCATATTGACATGATGGCATCACACAGTTNTAAATAAAAGCTGAAAAATGTCAGATGGTGTGTAAACAGTCAACCTATAGACTCAATACAATTACATGAACTTTCAGAATTTCAATGTTTGAGGGTCTCCCTCCTCCCTCCAAACCAACCAGGTTTAAAAACAATGTTCACTGTCTGATGATCAAAATGATTCTAAAAGTAGAGGCTGTTCCAGAGGAACATTTCAGCAACAAAGTGGAAACAATCGTAGCTCGGTGAGCCGTTTCAGAGCAGAGCGACCTTTAAGTGAGGCGGGACTAATGAATGTGGACGTGTGAAATAAATGGCAGTGAGACACGGACAGAAACAGGCGACAACATTGACCAGTCAGATTTATTCCATCATTAATCCTGAAACATGAAGCAGCTATGATGATCATTAATCATTTCCACATAGAAACCGCTGATGGCTGGTTGCTAGGCTACAGTAATGAGCGCTCCAGTTAAACATTTTGGATCAGACAAACTTTGAGCCATCAGAGGACGCAGACTATAAACCTAAACAGTTTCTGACAATCGGGTGGAGCAGGAAAAATGGAGCATTAGGCTGGACGGAGGGATGATGAGTGAAGTTTAGTCCCTTAGCCACAGAGCTAGCAGGAGGCTGCAGCCCTTCTCACCTAGACATGCAAATTAGAAGAGGACACATCTCCTTCCAGGTAAAAGTGCACGAGATGTTTGATGCTGAAGCTACCTCCAGACTCAATAAATACGAGTGGCTCATCTTCTGTTGGCGGAGCTTCAGAGGTCATCTGTTAGTTTTCTTTCTGACCTACAGGGAGAAGAAAAGAGGAACGGAAAAGTTCTCTCAGTTTTCTCCTAATTTGAGTCGAGCAAACTCATTAGCCATCTGCAGCGCCTCCTGCAGGCACTGCGTGTTCCTGCCCGTGGCCTGTGCAGACATGTCTTTGCCGCCGCCTTTTCCATCCAGCAGGGGGCACAACTCCTGAACCCACTCACTGGCCTTCAGACCACGGTTTGCCACGTCCTGCAGAGGAGAGAGGAAGAAACTGAGATCAGAACAAGAGCAGCTCAATAAGGCCCACTAAGCCCTCCGCCGCTCTGGGGGGTTTGCACATGGAGGAAGGTTCAGGTCACAAGTCTGCAAAACCTGGAGCGTCTGAACGGAGGCATGGAAAGTCAGATGACAGATCATTAGCCTAACTGCGCAATGGGTTGACAAAAATGCTAACTTGCAAAGGGCCGTCTTGCATGCAAAACATTTTTGGGGATCACACACTAGGCCAAGCCATTGCGGACGTGTTTGCTGAGATGCTCCAGATGCGGGGAGTTCCCAAACCTTTGATTCATGTTGCGCTACGTGGTAATGCTAAAAACATGATAAAAGCCATGGCAGAGGCCGGACTTCAGAGCCTTCCATGTTTCGCACACACACTCCAGCTGGTGGTTAACGAAGGGCTTCTGGTCCAGAGGAGCGTGACTGATGCTGTCGCTATCAGTCGGAAAATGGTAAGACATTTCAAACACTCCACATTAGCTAGAAGATATTCCGCTGCAGCTCAATCAACCAACAGAAAGATTGCAACAGGATGTACAGACCTGCTGGAACAGCACATTCTACATGTTACAGTCTCTCATTGAGCAAAAGCACGCCCTGTGTAATTCTGTTTAATGAGCCAAATGAAAATAAAAAAAAATTCAAATTAATTCTGAGGAGTTAATGGTATCAGTACTCAGTATCGGTACGTACTGAAGTTGAAGTACTTGTAATCATACTTGGTTTAAAAAAAATGTGGTATGGGCACATCTCTAACTCATACCTGTGGAACTTGGCAGAGGCAGGTGATCCTGCCGGCGTCGGGGTCGACAGTGAACAGCATGGCGGCGGTCTGCGGGGACTGATTCTTTAGCAGCTTCAGGGATTCATTTAGAGCCTAAAGAGAGAAAACAATAACTTGACGTTGTCATCCTACAGCAAAGAGCAAACGTTTTCCTCTAGGGGTCCAGATGTTCAGACCTTTGCAGAGGCTCCCGTCTCCATTTCCATGACGAGCAGCGGCTGGTTGGGGTTGTTCTCGATCACCTCCTTGGTCTTCTCCAGGACTCTCTTCTGGATGTCGGCCTTGTAGCTGCGGTCCAGGTCATCCATGGTCTTCTTCAGAGCCTTCAGGGTCTCCCTCATCTCGTCCTTCTGCCACTGCGAGATGACGGCGGTGCCTATAGACTGCAGAAACACTCAGAGGGTTAAACTGCAGCAGCTCAGAAGCTCCTCTGGGTAGAAATCCTCGTCTACCTCGTTCATGTCGGCGATCTCCTTCTGCACGTCCTTGTTGGGCGTCGTCTGCTGCTTCACCTTGCCTCCAAGAGCAGACAGAGATTGGCGAAGGGCATCAGCTTTACGAGCCGCCTGGAGGAAGGAAGAGCGGGAGGATGAGGTGAAACAGCAGGATGGTCAAAAAAATAAATAAATCAGTCTGGATACGTGAGAAAACTGTAGCCTGTTCAGCTTTATCAGGAGAACCTCAAATAGGATCTGCCAATATCTTTATTTATCTTCTGAGGTCTGTGTGAATACAGCAGGTGTCAGCATGGTGCCTGGGAGGTGTGCTCTGACCTTCTGGGCCTCAGCTCCCGTCACAGCGACGATGCGGCGGATGCCCTTAGCGATAGCCTCCTCTGAGACGATGACAAACGGCGCAGCGTGACCCGAGTTCTGCAGATGGCTGCGGATAACGGACACAGCAGGACATGAATACTGGAGATGAGCAGGAAACGGCAGCAAGCGTCACTTTGACCATGAAAGTGAAAACGCAGAAACATTCTGAGGTCACAGCTGTCTGATAATCATCAGGTCCAGCAGAGCGTCCGAGCATCAGGTGCAGCGCGTCCCAGTGTTCTACGCCGGACTGCTGTGCGTCAACCAATCCAGGAGATTTTTTTGGGGTGGGAGATAGAAACTACGAGCTGTTATTGTTTCTGCAGAGCTTCTGAATATGAAAAATAAATATCAAGAGGTTCAATTCAAAGGTTTAAAAAAAGCTGGGAGAATGGATTGTTATGTAGAAAGAACAGACAGCGAGCTCTGATCTTTATTATTGCAATAAAAAAATTTTTATGAACTACGGCGAAACAGGAGTTCTTCTCCCACAATGTTTATTTGATCACTGCTGCACTTTAAGAAATGGAAATGTCATGAAAGCTGTACAGAACAACAATGAAAGTTCATAAATACCCAAATTAACCAAAAATGTTAAAACTTACAGACGTACCAAAATTCGATGGTATATTCTAATACTTGCAGTTTTTAACCACAAACCTTCAAAACTCTTTAATTCCACTTCCACATTCACTTGTTTTTCCTCAACATTCCTGGTTCAGGTTTAATTTGAGCCTTTTTTTAATTTAAATGATGATGCTGTGTGTAGTTTTGATCTTTCATTTTTAACCTCTAATTCATTATTTATTTCCTTTCTTGGGATTATCAACGTTTTTTGGTTCCAACATTTCTGAGTGGAGCTGAAAGGAACATTGCTGCCCCCTCCTGGAACAAAGCGGTACCTCCATAACGTCATGTGTGAGGTGTGATTGGGTCGAACCCTGACGCTCTGTACTCACGTTCCACCGCAGAACTCTATGGAGGTGAGGGAACCAGCGGGACTGTTGGGGTCGTCCAGCAGCTCCTGGACCGGGATGCCGATGGAAACGACTCGGACCGGGTCGGGGTAGGTCTCATCGAATACGGCACGCAGGCCCTGGATGGCCTTGGCCTCTGCCAGGGTGGCCTCCATGGCGTACACGGGCTGGACGGGTCAAAACAACAACAGTTAAGGTCAAAGGTGGCATTTAAACGGAATTCTGTTCAAGACAAAACTACAGTTTCAACCACAAAGAAAGAGAAAAGGTGCTGATCCAGTTTTCAAAGTGGTTCTGCTTAACAGTTCTCCAGATCCTTTCTGCTTATAACCACTAAAACCTGGGAATCGCTCTGGCCTCATTCTTAAGGGACGACCTGGTTCTGAGTCGATATATAGACCACTAAGAACCAGTTTAAATCTAAAATGTGGGCTTTCTGTTCCCAGTGGCCTTCTGGTCACCTCTTTTTGTTAAAAACGTTCTTTGTTTTTATGTCTTTCTGGTCTAAAAGCCTCGACAAACAACATAGAGGGAAAAAGTGATAAACCAGGACTGTTTGCTCCATGGTCTCCATTATTCAGCTTTAAGAGATGATTGCACCAACCTTGGCCTCTTTAATCATGGCACAAGCAATCTCCTCAGTGCGGCGGATCTCTCCTGTGCTCAGAGCTCCTTTAGCTGTGAAGTCGAAGCGAAGGCGATCCGGAGCGACCAGGGAGCCCCTCTGATCCGCCTCTCCCAAAACACCCCGCAGGGCAAAGTTTAAGATGTGAGTGGCCGTGTGGTTGCTCATGATTGGCCGCCTGCGAGCCTGGAGACATGATGATGACTGATTTCAGTGGGAGAAACTCAAACATTAAGAACATCAGCAGAGGAACCAGATCGCCACCTCGTCTATATGCAGAGTGACTCTGTCCCCGACTTTCAGGGTCCCATAGACGGTTCCGATGTGCAGAACGTAACCTCCTCGAACCTGCGTGTTCTTCACTGTGAACTCCATCCTCTGCAAAATAAGAGAGAAACACAAAAACAAAAACAGGGGGGGTTCAGAACCAGAACCAGCTGTTTGGAAGCTAACGTGTCCTGCTAACAGAGAGCTAATTCCAGTTAGCATCTTCTGCACGGACAGGAAGCAGCAGTAAAGTCTGACAGTGTGTCAGAGCGACATCCTCCGTCTGTAATAATTAAGCATGATTCAGATTCAATTCAAGTTGTTTACTTTTTATTCAGGAACCTGATCATTTAATTTAAAATACGACTCAGTTTAAATTGTGGGAGAAAGTCAGAATTATTAATTTAGTCAGTATTTCATTAGTAGCAAATTAACTTTTTAAAAAGATGTTTCTCTTTTTTTATAATTCAGTATATATAAAAAAAAAAAAATGCAGTTAAGAGCCAGTTGATGAATAAACTTGGATGAACTGAGTAATGGTCAGACCCTCTGAGCTTCCTGACTAACGTGTCGTTCTCTGTGGAGCCTACATCCTCAGAGCTGTCGTCCTCCCGCAGCATGTAGCCCTCGTCGAACGTCTGCCCGCCCTGCTCCGCGTAGAACGACGTCTGGTCCAGCAGCACGCCGCACTCCTGACCCGTGGTCACCTCCTCACAGAAGGCGCGGTCGCGGCGCAGAGCCAGAACCGTGGCGGAGGCCGGCTGAAACTCTGGAGCAGGACAGAGAGCGGCCGTCAGTGTTTCTGGGTGCGGTGAGGCTGAGGTGTGTCGACTCAGTCACCGACCGTAGTTTCCGTTATCGTCTGAGGTGTATCTGTATTTGGGCGAGTCGTCTGTGGCTGGGATCTGCTTGTTCCTCAGGTCCTCGATGGCGTAGATGTCCAGCATGATGTGGTCCTCGCCCCCGGCTCCTTTACCCTGAGACTTCAACTAAAGACAGCACCTGTTAAGGTTCAGCTCAGGCTCCACTATCACAGATCCATCAGACTTTTTAATAAACCAGCTGCTGATCTAAGAGCAAAAAGCCAAACAAACAAAATGATTCAGCTGATCTAATTTTCTTAGTAAAGCAGCTAAATCAGCTAAAAGCACCAGGATTAAATGAGACTTTGCTGAAAGCAGTTCAGCAGAGCCGACCAACGATCTGACGCTGCAGCTTTAAACGCCTCAAGGGAACACAGTGCAGCTAAACGCTGACTCAGCTAAAACCCCCTGCTTCCTCCTCACCTGCGCTGCCTTCTTCTCCTCCTCGAACGCGGCCAGGTCCACCCCCATGCCTTTCTCCTCAGCGATGAGCGACGTCAGGTCCAGAGGGAAGCCGTACGTGTCGTAGAGCAGCCATGCTGTGTCTCCTGCGGACGAAATGAAGATCTTTTAAAACCCGGTTTGCTGCTAAAGTATTCAACCCCCAACAGTTTGCTGGAACAAATGACTTGACTGCTGCATCCAGGCAGCAGGACCTGCAGGACGTTTCTGTAACCCGAAACCGCTCCATCTCCCCAGCAGACGAGGCGCCGCTGATTTACAGAAATAAAAACAGAGGAGAGTTTCCAGGAATAGGTTCTATGGGAAAAACCAGCCTCCACCGTTCCTCCACTCTGACCAGTTAACCCAGTCTGCTGAGTGCAAACAGCCCGCAGCATCAAACTGCCACCGCCATGCCTCATTGTGAAGGTGCTGCACTCTGGATAAACACAATCAGAACAGCTTCCCCAGATGGTTTTGACCTTATGGTTCATTTTCAACCCTTCAGTCAGTTGCTCTAATCCCTGGATGCGATCAGGTGTTAGTTTGGGTCTGTGACCCCATGATGATGGAAGAAAAGTGGGAATAAATGGTTTGCATCGGAACCCAGAAAGTCACCACTTAGGTGTCGGTTCAGGCTCTCCTGCAGGGTTTCCATGTAAACTGAATTATGGGATGCGATCCATTCTGTCATTCTGCTGAGGGCGGGTGGATCCCTCATCCTTACTAATCAGAGCTGCTCGGTGAAGGAGGGAGGAACCATGAAGGAGAGGAACGCCTCACCTGGGATCGTCTTGCATTCTCCCAGGCTCATGATCTTCCTGTCGAGGATGCGGCGCCCCCTGCTGAGCGTTTTCAGAAACTGTGCCTCCTCCTCGTTGATGATGTCCTTCACCATCTCTGGGTCCTTCTTCAGCTCTGGGAAGGCGTCGCCCTGCGTGGTTCGGGGGGATGGGGGTGTTAGTTTTGCACAGTTCATTAAATCTGAAATTTCAGATGACTTTTAGTAAAGATTAATATCTGAGCCAGTGTGTCCCTGTGAGGAACTGGAAACCTGGGTTTAATTTTTTTTTTATCGTTTTATTTTACATTTCTATTAAGCTAGAGCTACAGAGCTAATAGAGAGAAATAGGCCAACTAGATTGAATGGGTGCTCCCCGGGCTGCTGGCGGGTCACTACCCAATCCGTACCATCAGCTCATTTACACGTGTAAGCAGATATTCATGCAGGCCGCCATAAAGTAATGATGGTACTAAAAGTAATTATTTAAATCCTAAATCACTACAGAACGCTAATACACATCTTAAAGGTTTTAATGACTTTTCTGAGACAATTTAATAGAAACATTGACAATAATCACATCTACATAAATACTATATAACTGCTTGTCCCTCGCCGCGTCTCCGACCCTCTCTGCAACCTTAGCTGCATGTTTTCCACAGTAAAAACTAAAAACAGAGAAACTCACCAGAGAAGCCACCACCACGTCCACCAGCGAGGCAAAGAATCCCCTGGGAGCACCAAGCTTCTCATGGGAATAACGAACCGCGCGCCGCAGGATCCTCCTCAACACGTAGCTGAACAGAAGGAGAAAAAACTCAGAGACCCCGACCAAAGGAAAACCATTACAGCAGAATCGCCTGCTTTGACCCGTCAGCATTATGCACCCGGGTCAGACATCCTGACTTCACTCACCCTCTGCCTGTGTTGTCTGGCCGCCCGCCGTCCGACAGAGAGATGGTGATGGTGCGGGCGTGATCGGCGAGGACGCGGTAGGCCATGTCGATGCCGTCAACATCATCAGCGCCCACCTTCCCGGTGTAAGGCCGAGCGCCTGAACCCTGAGACAGAAATCAGTTCACTGCAGAGCGGTTCTGAACCTCCCCACCCTCAGGAAAGTTCCAGGCTTTGACCTCTGACCTCCTGAAGCCGGCCCTAATGCTTTCCCTTCCTGACGTCTCCACCCACCTGCTGATGCTACATAATGAATTAGAGCTGAAACAACCAGATGGATCCATAACTGAATTTACTCATTGATTATTCGTTAACTGGAGAAAGGTCTTCAAAATAGAACATCAGCAGAAAGAGAAACCCACACAAAGCAGCAATTATACAAAAAAAATACAAAGATTTTGCATTTATAGCAGAACTAAGTTTATTGAACTTTTTTAGTTCAATAAAAACGACATAGGTTGTTCTCCAAAAGGACCAGTAGGGGGAGCCCAAGCCTGCTTTAGAAAAAACCTTTTCTGGTTCTGTCCAGAAGCCCTTCATTTCTAAAGCTCCAACTGCTTTTAATCCTGTATAAAATCTTCTTTAAGGCGCCTTTTGCTACCTGAATAATCAGTTAATAAAAAATAATAATAAACGACAGATAAAAGAATAATTATTTGCAGCTCTAGAATGAACTCTATTGTGAGGATTAAATGAAAAAAAAGTTCTTATTGGGAGATTCTCACCTAATAAGAACATTGACTAAAAACAAAGGAGTTTAAGGACTAAAAAAAACAAAACAAAAAAAAAAACACCTGGATTTGCCCATTGAACATCTTTCCTTTGTGGGTCGGGGGGGTTCCGTACCTTCTGAATGGCCTCGAAGTACGGGATGAACAGGTCGGTGTCATAGTTGGACATCTTGTTCTGGAGAACAGAGACCAGGCGTTCCAGACCCATCCCTGTGTCGATGCTCTTCTTAGGCAGCGGCTTCAGCTCCGTCTCCGACTCTCTGAGGAAAGTTCAAACCTTTCAAACATGGTTTCATCCCTGAAGCTCTGCTGACATCCTGTCTGCCAGATACCTGTTGAACTGGATGAAGACCAGGTTCCAGATCTCCAGCACGTTGGGGTCGTCCATGTTCACCAGGTGAGACGCGTCCCTCCCTCCGATCCGGTCGTAATGGATCTCACTGCAGGGGCCGCAGGGGCCGGTGTCGCCCATCTCCCAGAAGTTGTCCTTCATGCTGCCAGGAAGGATGCGGGCCTCGTCCACACTGAGCCAAAGACCGACAGCGAGGAGTTAGAGAAGCAGACAAGTTCAACGAGGCAACGAGAATGACAAGATGGAGGGAAATCAGCAACAGCTCCCCAACTGACCAGGAACCAAGATTCAGCAGATTGACCTCAAGGCTGGAGCGTCTACATCTCTGAGAGAAGACGAGGAACACGAGAACCTCATCTCAGAGTAGGGTTGTCAAAAGTATCGATACTCAAAAAAGTATTGATACTGAAAAGTTGTATCCGGATACAATACTCATTTTCAAAAGTATCGATACAGTGCTACCAACAGTGGCACCTAAACAGTCATTCATCTTCAGAGCAGAATAGAGGAAAATGCGCTTTCTGAACACTGTGTGATTGAATAATTCTACGCACTTTTCAGTTTCAGACTTTTTTTTGTAAGAGGTGCAGCTGCAGAGAATTATTTTTGTTTTCTTAATATTGAGCACAGCATACAATCTCAAAATATTGTATTTATTTATCTATTTATTGTATTTTGTTTATTAATGAAAAAATGTCTGTTGAATTTTGGAGTCTTTGTTTTTATCCTAGTGGTATAGAAAATGACATCTAGTTCCAATATTTTACTTAATATCGGTATCGAGTTGAAAAGTTTAGTATCGTGACAACCCTATCTCAGAGTCTACAGGTTAAAGGTCACCACAGGGTGAACAAGCATGGCTGGTTTGGAAAAACTGCAGGCAGCAGCAGGAGGTAGTTTAGAAAAGGACAGAGTCCTCTGGGACAGAGTCCTCTGGGACAGAGTCCTCTGGGACAGGAGTGGGCAGATTAGAAACACAAAGAAACACACTCCAAACCAGCCGTCCACATGTTTGTCTATGGGACAGGTGGAGGGAGGGAAGGAAGGAAGGAAGGAAGGAAGGAAGGAAGGATACAAAGATACAAGGAAGGAAGGAAGGATACAAGGAACGAAAGAAAGAACGATACAAGGAAGAAAAGGAAGGATACAAGGAAGGAAGGAAAGAATGATACAATGAAGAAAGGAAGGATACAAGGAAGAAAGGAAGGATACAAGGAAGAAAGGAAGGATACGTGTAAGGAAGAAAGGAAGGAGACAAGGAAGAAAGGAAGGAGACAAGGAAGAAAGGAAGGAGACAAGGAAGAAAGGAAGGAGACAAGGAAGAAAGGAAGGATACAAGTAAGGAAGGAAGAATACAAGTAAGGAAGGAAAGAATGATACAAGGAAGGAAGGATACAAGGAAGGAGACAAGGAAGAAAGGAAGGATACATGTAAGGAAGGAAAGAATGATACAAGGAAGAAAGGAAGGATACACGTAAGGAAGGAAAGAACGATACAAGGAAGAAAGGAAGGATACAAGGAAGAAAGGAAGGAGACAAGGAAGGAAGGATACAAGGAAGAAAGGAAGGATACAAGGAACGAAAGAAAGAACGATACAAGGAAGAAAGGAAAGAATGATACAAGGAAGAAAGGAAGGATACAAGGAAGAAAGGAAGGATACAAGGAAGAAAGGAAGGATACAAGGAAGAAAGGAAGGATACAAGGAAGAAAGGAAGGATACAAGTAAGGAAGGAAAGAACGATACAAGGAAGAAAGGAAGGATACAAGGAAGGAAGGAAAGAATGATACAAGGAAGAAAGGAAGGATACAAGGAAGAAAGGAAGGATACAAGGAAGAAAGGAAGGATACAAGGAA